CACAAAGAATAAGGACATGAAAACGAGGCTGTTATCGGGCGCTCATAAACATATATCGATCAAAACCGACACGGATTGTTGGCCGTATACAAAGCCAACCCAACGACAATCTCAAAAACAATCAAAAGTGGCGAAGCTCAGCCTGAACACAACGTATCCGTCATCTTTAAGACTAAAGAGACGTGGTTAATGGGATTCAGGTAAACACCATGTTTTAGAATGTGAATACGCTCCTCTGTTTATATCGCGTAAAAACGAACAACCTGTTCCTGGTTGATATCGAGATGCTTGAACAAAATTGCATGCTGCACACTGAGAACAAGTTGTCCACAATATTGTTCAGGCATTGTTATAACTGAGCAATGATGTAACAACATTTTACATTGTTACAACTGACTAATGATGTAACAACATTGTTACAACTGACCAATGATGTAACAACATTGTTACAACTGACCAATGATGTAACAACATTGTTAGAACTCACCAATGATGTAACATTGTTACAACTGACCAATGATGTAACAACATTGTTACAACTGACCAATGATGTAACAACATTGTTACAACTGACCAATGATGTAACAACATTGTTACAACTGACCAATGATGTAACAACATTGTTACAACTGACCAATGATGTAACAACATTGTTGACAATGTTGTGGGTGAAGCAAGTTGGAGTTCTCCTTGTATTAGTTTCAGGAATGAAATTGTATCCCTATCAATCCCCAACTTTCTATTATTGACACTACCTACACTGAGGTGAAGTTCGACCTTAGAGGTGAAAGGCAAGTGCGCTAACCACTTCAGTGGCGAAGTGGGACTTCGGTGGCGAAGTGGGACTTCGGTGGCGAAGTGGGACTTCGGTGGCGAAGTGGGACTTCGGTGGCGAAGTGGGACTTCGGTGACGAAGTGGGACTTCGGTGGCGAAGTGGGACTTCGGTGGCGAAGTGGGGCTTCGGTGGCGAAGTGGTTAGCGCACTTGCCTTTCACCTCTAAGGTCGCAGGTTCGAATCTCAATGAGGACTTCTCATTGTGACTCGAACCCAGTCCTCATGTGAAAAGAGTAAGTCAACGCTCTGCCGAAAGTCGTGGGTTTTCTCCGGGTACTCCGTGTTTCCTCCCACAGGGAAAGTTGACAGGGTGGGTTAGGCACATAAGGTCTGGAGGCAGATCATTAATGAGGTATGGACTAATAGCGGCTGCTCAAGCGCCATTTGTAAGCTCAAAGTCTACCTCGGTCTGCTTCACGTCAGTCCGGTTGATCTATCTAATCATAATGTAAAACTTCTGCAATTCAGTGTATGCTGCCATGGAAGTTCAAATAAACTATCTATCTTACTTCAGAAATTTAGTTTGTTATCAAAAATATATTTTACTAATCAAAGATCAATCCCTTTTTAGAGCCGCAAAACGAGATGATAATCTACATTGGTTCAACAAAATTACTCCTGGCAGCGTTCGTCCTGTCTACAATATTATTGTCGATATTAATCGTGGATTGCAACCTATGGCATCGCAAGAAGGGAATACTTTATAATATATTGTGTTGTCGAAAATACAGACGAGAAATGGACCGTCAAGATTGCGCTGAAAGACGAGAGATGATAGAAGTATATAAACAATGGTGAATCTTGTAACAAACCTGCAACAGACTTGTAGCAATGCTGTTCCAACAACTTGTCAACAGGATGTGTTCGCACTGCTTGCTCCCAGCTTGTTGTTGACAACTTGCTACAAGGTTGTTGAGCTCAACAGACTTGTTACAAGTTGTTCCAGCAATGTTATCGTCCTGCAATGGATGATTCCAGCTATATAGACTAAGTTTTGATCTCGGCAAGAAGAACAAAATCCATCACAACAACTAGAAAGAGCATGTTGAAATTAGTAAAATCGCAAAGTTTGCTTGCGAAATGTTGTAAAATAAGGAAAATATACTGTAGCCCAACGAAATTTGCAAATTTTGTATTAATTTATATCACGCGCGGGAAAATGCACCACATTTGGGCGGAAAGTGGTACATTTTCCCGTGCGTACTACAAATTAATACAAAATTTGCAAATTTCGCAGGGCTATAGCCTATATTTTCCGCATTTTACAACATTTCGCAACCAAACTTTGCATTTTCACTAATTTTAACATGCTCTTTCTAGCTGTGGTGATGGATTTTGTTCTTCTTGCCGAGATCAACATGTGGTCGACAGCTGGAATTGCTTATTCATCAATTTGTCAACATACTAAGCTTGACATCGATTGGAAATGTGTAACTGTTTATAGAAAGGCAGAGGATATCTACCAGGTAGATACGACGGATTCTTGTAACGACTATTTCACATGTACTGTTAATAGAATTGATATATCTCTACAATCAGTAAAGACTGATTTACATACAGCACACAAAAATGACAATATTCCATATACATGTACTAATTTCTCCTTTATCGTACTCTTTTTTCAATTTTTAATATTGCAATATTTTCAATAAAAAAATAAAAAATAATGTAATAATAGAATGTTGATCTACAGTCAGTAAACACACAAAAGACAAGATAGACTCCAGATTATTTCACATGTAATGTAATAGAGTGTTGATATATCTCTACAGTCAGTAAAGACTGATTTACATACACTACACAAAAGACAAGATAGATCCAGACTATTTCACATGTAATGTAATAGAGTGTTGATATATCTCTACAGTCAGTAAAGATGATTTGCATACAGCACACAAAAGACAAGACAATTTGCATTTCCTGTAAACACCGTGAGAATTGACAATGTAGTAATATTCAACTATATATTGAAGACACGATTCATTCCGGCTGGCTTGCCTGGCGCGGCTCATATGAACATCCCCTGACCGGCAAGAAGCCGAAACATGCATGCTTATATTATACAGTGTTTTCAAATGCTAGTCGTAAATTGCATTCTTTTATTGAAAGTTTCCGCGATTCCGCCAACGCAAAACAGCACATGTTTCGCATTCCATCGATACACTAAGAAAATATTTTAACATATTACAAAGGTTACAAATATAGTGCCTGTTCCATGCACCCGGTATTTTTTTCGAGAATAATCTTGTGGTGCATGTATTACTCAGCTGAAAAATTGCGTAAAGTATATGTTTGGGATTTACAATATATCCAGCTGAGCTGATGATTTCGCATAGCGCCATTTGGGGGATTTCGATGAAATTTCATAAATTTTGAAAGGGGTTTTACGAATTTATATATATAATCTCGTCACATGATGACCCTTATATATATACCGTGATATAGATCGGTGTGTGCTGATTTAAAATTCATATATAGACTACCTTTATGATAACGGTTAATGTACCTTTATAAAGCATTCTTTAACAAAATGTTTATTAATCTGTTCCTAATAAAAACTCAAATATTCGAGAAATCAATAAATACTTTATTTTCCAAAGTTATACAATTGTTAAACATGGGATTAACAACCCTTTCGTTTTGATTACACACCACTTTAAGGCCTTTAAGGCTTTAAACCCAACAAATTTGCTCAACCAAAATGCTAAAGACGCTTCATTCATCTCCGCCAGCGATGTAGTTAATGTCTGGATTGGGCCAATATCATCAGTTTCATGACAAAATCTTCAATGACAACGTCACTAAAACTTACAAGGTATAGTCGACAATGACATTTTAGAAGACATAAACTGTGATCTTAGGAACCTTGCAAATGATCTCTCCATCGGTAACCGCATTGAAACCATGGCAACTAATGAAGCGTTTGTGACAATTAAGGACCACAAAGATAATTTTGAAGTCAACCCAACCTATCGCCTGATATACCCAGCGAAAAGTGATCTCGGAAAGATTAGTAAAACCATTCTTGATGACATTAACTCACAAATTAGTAATAACATTGGCGTGCAGCAATGGAAAAACTCCTTATCAGTTATTGATTGGTTTAAGAACATTAAAAACAAACAAAGGTACTCATTTATTTCCTTTGACATACTTATTGTAGCTGAATACTATCCCTCCATTACAGAGGATCTTCTAGATAAATCAATTTCGTGGGCTCGAAATTATGTTACCGTCCCTGAACAGCATGTGTCATTTAATTGTCAATCATTAAACACGCAAGAAACTCCCTCCTTTTCAATGGTGGTAACATCTGGAAAAAGCGGCAAAGCAACAATACATATGACGTTACAATGGGAAGTTACGACGGCGCAGAGGTATGTGAGCTAGTCGGCTTATTTATTCTAAACTCCTTAGCTGAGAAATACGGTAAAGATTATACGTTGGTCTTTATCGTGATGATGGACTTATTTTATTGAAGGGAACTTCCAAACGTCTAGCTGATAAGGCAAGAAAAGATCTGCACAAGTTGTTTGCAGAGAACTTCCAATTAAAGATAACAGCCGAAATTTGCCACCAAACCGTCAACGTCCTCGACTTAACTTTCAATTTACACGAGCAGAGTTACAAGCCTTACCGGAAACCTAATAATGACCCCCTTTTCATCAACAGTCATTCGAATAATCCAACATCAATCATAAAACAAATCCCGCTATCAGTGAACAAACGTATTTCACAATTATTATCCGACCAAAATGCCTTTTCAGCCGCTGCACCCTTGTATGCGACACGTCTCACTTTAAGGTATCTCTGCATGATCTGACCATGGACCACTGTGGTTAACTCAGCAGTAATAGTTCTGTACAACATCAGATCACTTTAAGGTATTCTTGGGTTTCACTACGCTATTATGCAGTGAATGTGATGGGGGTCAACTTCAAACGTATTGATGCTTATGCTGTACTGGAGTAAGGAAATGATACGAAATTCCATGTATTTGCCACCAAACACAAGGCTAATACATAAAACGAACAATCGACTCACTCTGATAACTGTGTTTTGTTTTAGAGTTGACCCCCCGTCACTTTTGCGACGTCATATGAAATGCAAGAATAGCCTGCATTAAAAAACATGTACTATCACTATCTCTATATATATAATGAAAAGAATTTCCTCATACCGTGATATAATTGCAGGTTGCATGCTGCGTATAATAATATAAGTTTTGCATGGTTTGTGGAAACACCAAGTGTCCAGAGATATTAAACGAAGATCACATCCAAATTAAGCAACACATATAAGTACACCTTGTAGCAGAAGTAAATAATTTTATTTCTAAATTGAAGACAATATTCTAGAGCTTAGTTGACGAAAATATATTTTTAACGACTTATTATTCTATATAAACAGCCGGGCTTCAATTGATGACGTTTCTGCATGATCTTGAACTGTGACCGCGCCTAAATGTCAAAAACAACCGGTGCTCTCAACCTTTTTGTATGAGGTGGTCGCGTATTGCGTGAACTGTGATAAAAAACACCGTGCATGTTTATTTTTGACTTTTATATGTTTATGCCAAACGCAACTTAAGCCTTCGACGCTTGCATGCATATATATAGCCTACAACATTCTTTCGTAAGGCTAAACAGTCGTGACATATGCATAAAAAAATCTCTTTATAGTTATACAGACAAAGCGTACACCCCCATGTCATGCATGCACGTTTAATTTTAACTATTCGTTGGAAGAAATGTTGATAAAGAATCGTTGTGTCTGAGATTAGTGTATTGGTATTTAGATATCATCTGCTATTAATAGAGTAGTATTAAACTTTGAATAAATACATCATTTCAGTACACTGGATAGTTCTATGAGGTGCAGTATAAAAAGGGTCATCGCGTTTTGATCCAGTGTTACTACAGGAGAAAACCTAAACTAAACTAACTTTATTTATACTTGATAGCTCTATCAGTTCTAAACTGTTCTCCCTGGAGGTCCAGTAAGGTAATCTCTTGTTGATCCAGTATTACTACAGGAAGAAATCTGAACTATACTATAACTTATACTGGATAGCTAGCTCTATTCATGCAGTTATATACTGTTCTTCCTATAGAGGTGCAGTATAAGATCATCTCTTATTGATCCAGTGTTACTATACAGAAGGGAACTTAAACTAAACTAAACTAAACTAAACTAACGGTATATTTATACTATAGATAGGTCTATCACGCAGTTGCAATTGTTTTCCATACATGCATCAGAGTTATGACTACAGGAGGAATCCTGCGATTTTGAAAAGTCAAACTGGAAGCCCTTCTCTCACATACGACCACTACATTGCAGGAATCAAAATCACAAAAGTGAAAAGCACATGGATTAACCACTGTGGTACCAACACTATATACTTAAACTATATCCTTGCAGTGCGGAGTTTAGACTAAAGACTGAAGAAAGTTTTCGGTTGCCTTGTATACAGATTTATAAATCCGTGACTTTCAATGGACTGCAGTTTATAAATGCCCCCATTGCAGCACAATTTAATAACAGATCGAAAGTATTGTAACACTTGAAATTGATATTGTTTCTGATTCTTGACAATATATCACGTCCGGAACAATGGAGCGTTAGCACATAATTGCTGGATTTACTTTATTTACCTATACTGACATTTTACTCGCCTGCATGCATGTATTTATATACAACAATTAACAGATCAGTTTAATTTAAAGTATGATCTAACAATATTCCCGCCTATATATAGTATAATATACTCTCAACCTCACGTTGTTAGAAGCATATCGATGCACTGACGCGCGTATATAAGCGACTGCTAATTAACCGCCTACGAATCTCTTATATAGCTGCAACGAAATCACTAAGAAATGTACTTGTAATATGATTTCATTGATATGATAATTCTGCTGGCCGCAAAAATCTTGTTCCTGTAATAAGAACTTTGTTTGGAAAACATATTTCTCTGCATTGTTGATTCTGGTTGCGGTTTGTGCGGTTAATCTAAGGTTTCCAATGATGGCTTATAAAAGCGGTGAGCGCGAAGGAGACAAACTTTTATCTGCAAGTGACAAGGCTCAAGAGAAGACCATGCACCTGGATTAAATATATCATCAGAAGAATTTTTTCGAATTCAAGCAACTACACAGATATGGGTAAGTAGTTATGTTGGTATTGCATGCTATATTATATGGTTAATGATATTTGTTTCCGTGAAAAATTCACCATGCTATGGTATACATTACAGTACTGTCAATATTCACTTTATCCAGTTTTCTCTAACATTGACTTAGTGAGAAGACTGGTCTCGATTTAATTCTACCAAACACCACAGGTCTTAATTCATAAGAAGATTTTATTGGCATCTCACTAGATACGTCCTTGTTGTCATAGCAACGGCAGTTGCATAAATTTTGTTAAAAAATTTGAATTTTTTAAATTTGAATTTGAAATTTGAATTCTCTAAATTCATCTTTTAGATTTTGGCAGCGTTGTGAACTTGAAATATATTGCTGGACAGTATTTCGTGATGGCTTTACTTTTGCAAGGTTTTCTGAACGGCCAGGAATACAGGCCAGGTGCAAGTAAGTGCAGAGTTAACAATAAATAATACCAGACCGTTTACAAATTAACTTTACTGGATAACTCTATAGCAATTCGAAACTGCTGTTCCGCCTGGAGACCGCTCGTAATGGAGACCACTCGTATTCTTCTCACATGCGAGGTAAAATTATACAGACGACTCTATATGTTGCAGGAATCGAACCTCGCTGGACACATGTACTGACCACTGTCATCTATATTTCCAATATTGTGTAATGGTCAATCATGAGTAATGCAAAATGCCTCGGTAACAAATTTCTAAATTTTAATTTTTAGACTCAGATGGTAGACCGTATGAGGAAGTCGTGTCAATTTACAACGGAGATTTTACAACGCCCGAGTCAAGAGAACCGTACTTTATCAAAGTACATCGCTGCATCAAAGCTTGTTGGCACAGTTCCATTGAAATGCCCATTGCTTTAACACAGAAAGAAATAGAAATTGTAGCAGCAGATATCAACAATCAAACAAAATTTTATAAATATGTCGTGTACGACCATATTTCGTGCAAATGTCATAATGTTACACAGATTATTGAGATTAACAAATTGCACAAGACTGATCTTGTTTCTAACGAAGGTAAGCATTTATTCCAACTAATTGCAGTTAGTTTGTTACCGTCATCAACCTTGTAACAAAATGATAACAACTTGTTCAAGATTTACAACAACTGGGAACAAGAAGTGCGAACACCCCCTGATATCGGCTTCACAACAACATTGTTACAACGTGAAATAAATAAAATATAATATATATTAACCTGGCAGAGAAGTGAACTATAAATCTTGTTCTATTTAGTGAACGAAACTGAATTCAAGGCAAAACTACCTAACAATCCAGAGAATCTGAGAAATTGCAGCCCATCATCATTCTGTAGCAAGCCTCAACCACGCCATAAGCTTAATCCCTATAGCGGACTGACTGCGATTGTCCAAGATCAGCGGTATATCTTCTTTAATCAATGCTTGCCTGGTTGTGGTGCTACCACAGAGAATAAGGACATGAAAACGACGTCGTTGTCGGGCGCTGATAAATATATATCGATCAAAACCGACACGGAATGTTGGCCGTATACCAAGTCAACCCAAAGACAATCTCAAAAACAATCAAGAGTGACGAAGCCCAGCCTGGCGAGTGTTAGCAACCTAAACACAACCTATCCGTCATCTTTAAAGACTAAAGAGACGCAGGATTCAGGTAAACACCATGTTTTAGAATGTGAATACCCTCCTTTTCAATAAAATAATTTGTTTAGATATACACGCGTAAAAACGAACAACCTGTTGCCGGTTGATATCGACGGGTTCGAACAAAATTGCATGCTGCACCCTAAGAACAAGTTCTCCACAATATTGTTACAGCATTGTTACAACTGACCAATGATGTAACAACATTGTTACAACTGACCAATGATGTAACAGCATTGTTACAACTGACCAATGATGTAACAACATTGTTAGAACTGGCCAACGTTGTTACATTGTTGCAACAGACCAATGATGTAACAACATTGCTAGAACTGACCAATGATGTAACAACATTGTTACAGCTGACCAATGATGTAACAACATTGTTACAACTGACTAATGATGTAACAACATTGTTAGAACTGACCAATGATGTAACAACATTGTTACAACTGACCAATGATGTAACAACATTGTTACAACATTGTTACAACTGACCAATGATGTAACAACATTGTTACAACTGACCAATGATGTAACAACATTGTCAGGACTGACTAATGATGTAACAACATTGGTTAGAACTGGCCAATGATGTAACAACATTGTTACAACTGACCAATGATGTAACAACATTGTTACAACTGACCAATGATGTAACAGCATTGTTACAACTGACCAATGATGTAACAACATTGTTACAACATTGTTACAACTGACCAATGATGTAACAACATTGTTACAACTGACCAATGATGTAACAACATTGTCAGGACTGACTAATGATGTAACAACATTGGTTAGAACTGACCAATGATGTAACAACATTGTTACAATTGACCAATGATGTAACAACATTGTTACAACTGACCAATGATGTAACAGCATTGTTACAACTGACCAATGATGTAACAACATTGTTACAACTGGCCAATGATGTAACAGCATTGTTAGAACTGACCAATGATGTAACAACATTGTTAAAACAGACCAACGATGTAACAACATTGTTAGAACTGGCCAATGTGGTAACAACATTGTTACAACTGACCAATGATGTGACAACATTGTTAGAACTGACCAACCTGTTCCCGGTTGATATCGACGGGCTTGAACAAAATTGCATGCTGCACCCTAAGAACAAGTTGTCAACAATGTTGTTACAGCATTGTTACAACTGAGCAATGATGTAACAACATTGTCACAACCGACCAATGATGTTACAACATTGTTACAACAGACCAATGATGTAATAACATTGTTAGAACTGGCCAATGATGTAACAACATTGTTAGAACTGACCAATGATGTAACAACATTGTTACAACTGACCAATGATGTAACAACATTGTTAGAACTGACCAATGATGTAACAACATTAGGGCCATTTATACGTGACAAAATAAGTCGCGACTTACATAAGACGCGACTTAAATAAGTGGAGTTATCGCATAAATGGTTCTCTACGGTTTTGGTCTTATTTATTTGCTATAGCTATAATGTTGTATTGGTTGTTTTTGTTTTAATATGCAAGGCATTAAATTTTACGTTGTTTCAAGTTTCTGGCATGTGTAGTTAGACTTTTGTCCAAAATTTCTTATTTAAGACGCGACTTAAATAAGAACAGCTAAAAGACCTGTTCTTATGTAAGACGCGTCTTATCCAAGACGCGTCTTACATAAGAATTTTGTACCTTTTATACCACAAACTCGCGTCTTACTTAAGTCGCGTCTTATGTAAGTCGCGTCTTATTTTGTTCCGTATAAATGGCCCTAATGTTACAACTGACCAGTGATGTAACAACATTGTGACAACATTGTTACAACTGACCAATGATGTAACAACACTGTTACAACTGACCAATGATGTAACAACATTGTCAGAACTGACTAATGATGTAACAACATTGGTTAGAACTGACCAATGATGTAACAACATTGTTAGAACTGGCCAATGATGTAACAACATTGTTAGAACAGACCAACGATGTAACAACATTGTTAGAACTGGCCAATGATGTAACAACATTGTTACAACAGACCAACGATGTAACAACATTGTTAGAACTAGCCAATGATGTAACAACATTGTTACAACTGACCAATGATGTAACAACATTGTTACAACTGATCAATGATGTGACAACATTGTTAGAACAGACCAATAATGTAACAACATTGTTAGAACTGACCAATGATGTAACAACATTATTAGAACTGACCAATAATGTAACAACATTGTTAGAACTGACCGGTACCAATGATGTAACAAGATTGTTGACAATGTTGTGGATGAAGCAAGTTGGAGTTATCCTTGTATTAAGGCGGATTTCCAGTCCTCGCATGAAGCTCCTCCCAACTCGCTGCGACTGCTTGCATTTAATTAAAATTAACTGTTTAGCATTGTGTTTGGATGAAAGTGCTGATGCATGCACTCGCAGCGAGGAGCTTCGTGCGAGGACTGGAAATCCGCCTTTAGTTTCAAGAATGAAATTGTATCCCTATCAATCCCCAACTTTCCTATTATTGAGACTACCTACACTGGAACAGACAGTTCAACATTAAATGAATTACACCTATTACTTCAGAAATTTAGTTTGTTATCAAATATATATTTGACTAATCAAAGATCAATCCCTTTCTAGAGCCGCAAAACGAGATGATAATCTACATTGGTTCAACAAAATTACTCCTGGCAGCGTTCGTCCTGTCTACAATATTATTGTCGATATTAATCGTGGATTGCAACCTATGGCATCGCAAGAAGGGAATACTTTATAATATATTGTGTTGTCGAAAATACAGACCAGAAATGGACCGTCAAGATTGCGCTGAAAGAGGACAGATGATACAAGTATAAACAATGGTGAATCTTGTAACAAACCTGCAACAGACTTGTAGCATTGCTGTTCCAACAACTTGTCAACAGGATGTGTTCGCATGCTTGCTCCCAGCTGGTTGACAAGTTGTCAATAGCTTGTTGACAACTTGCTATAAGGTTGTTGAACTCAACAGACTGGTTACAAGTTGTTCCAGCAATGTTATCGTCCTGCAATGGACGAATCCAGCTATACACTAAATTTTGATCTGCATGGGCAAGAAGAACAAAATCCATCACCACAACTAGAAAGAGTATATTGAAGTTAGTAAAATCGCAAAGTTTGCTTGCGAAATGTTGTAAAATAAGGAAAATATAGGCCAACAAAATTTGCAAATTCTGTATTAATTTGTATTGCGCACGGGAAAATGCACCACATTTGGGCGGAAAGTGGTACATTTTCCCGGGCGTAATACAAATACAAAATTTGAAAATTTCGCAGGGCTATATATTTCCGCATTTTACAAGATTTCGCGGCCAAACTTTGCAACTTTACTAATGTTAACATGCTCTTTCTAGCTGTGGTGATGGATTTTGTTCTTCTTGCCGAGATCAAAATTTAGTCTACAGCTGGAATTGCCTATTCATCAATTTGTCAAGATGCTGTGAGTGACAAACTAAGCTTGACATCGATTGGAAATGTGTAACTGTTTATAGAAAGGCAGAGGACATCTACCAGGTAGATACGACGGATTCTTCAGTGTAAATATATGAACGATTATATTTCACATATAATGTTAATAGAATTGATATATCTCTACAATCAGTTATAAGACTGATTTACATACAGCACACAGAATTGACAATACTCCACATGTACTAATTTCTCCTTAATCGTACTCTTTTTTAAATTTTTAATATTGCAATATTTTAAATAAAAAAATAAAAATAATGTGATAGAATGTTGATATATCTCTACAGTCAGTAAAGACTGATTTACATACATCACACAAAAGACAAGATAGACACATGGGCGTACCGGGCGGGGGAGGGGGGGGGGCGGGGGGAGGCAGCCCTCCTCCAGTTTGTTGGGCAAACAAAGCCAATCGGGCAATATTCGCTTCACAGTCGGGCAATATTGGCTTATTATAAAAATAAATGGGACAAATTCTGTCAATTTTGTGGGAAATATGCTATACTATCTAATAGGAATTTTTCGTAATCACTTCCCCACCCTCCCCCGCCGTCGACAACAATTTTGGAAAGTTTCTCCGGAAAATTTTTTTGACAACTCGGGCACAATCCGAAAAAGTCGTGCAAATTTCTTTCCGCCCCCCTAATTTTTTCCTTCCCGTACGCCCATGATTTCACATGTAATGTAATAGAGTGTTGATATACCTCTACAGTCAATAAAGACTGATTTACATATACAGCACACAAAACACAAGATAGATTCAGACTATTTCACATGTAATGTAATAGAGTGTTGATATATCTCTACAGTAAGTAAAGATGATTTGCATACAGCACACAAAGGACAAGATAGAACCAGACTATTTCACATGTAATGTAATAGAGTGTTGATATATCTCTACAGTCAGTAAAGACTGATTTACATACAGCACACAAAAGACAAGATAGATCCAGACTATTTCACATGTAATGTAATAGAGTGTTGATATATCTCTACAGTAAGTAAAGATGATTTGCATACAGCACACAAAGGACAAGATAGAACCAGACTATTTCACATGTAATGTAATAGAGTGTTGATATATCTCTACAGTCAGTAAAGACTGATTTACATACAGCACACAAAAGACAAGATAGATCCAGACTATTTCACATGTGATGTAATAGAATGTTGATATACCTCTACAGTCAGTAAAGGTGATTTGCATACAGCACACAAAGGACAAGATAGAACCAGACTATTTCACATGTGATGTAATAGAGTGTTGATATATCTTTACAGTCAGTAAAGACTGATTTACATACAGCACACAAAAAACAAGATAGATCTAGACTATTTCATATGTAATGTAATAGAGTGTTGATATATCTCTACAGTCAGTAAAGATGATTTACATACAGCGCACAAAAGACAAGATAGATCCAGACTCTTTCACATGTAATGTAATAGAATGTTGATATACCTCTACAGTCAGTAAAGATGATTTGCATACAGCACACAAAAGACAAGATAGATCCAGACTATTTCACATGTAATGTAACAGAGTGTTGATATATCTCTACAGTCAGTAAAGATGATTTACATACAGCACACAAAAGACAAGATAGATCCATGCAGAAAGAAAGAAAGTGCCACAACAAAAGATTTTTTAAGAAAGTGCTACAACAAGAGATTCAACACAACTCTGAGGATGCATGCAAATAAGGAAGATTGCAGTAAACTTGATAATAACCTCCCTGACACAAACACTGAATTAAACGATGAACTTGCTGAGAGAAGGTATATCCTGCGAGGGACAGAAGACCTATCAATAGATATGGTCACAACATATATAATGCTTAGTAGATTTAATAATTCGATTTTATAATATTATTGACATTTCGTTAGAACATCCGTGACAATTCAAAGTAAGGGAGGGATGCAGTGATCGCATATATATATATATATATATATATATATATATATATATATATATATATATATATATATATATATATATATATATATATATATATATATATATATATATATATATATATATATATATATATATATATATATATATATGCGGGTGGGTGAAGACATGCACACCCTCTCTTCTCCCGCCCGCACTAAACGCCTGCTACGTAGGCTACACCGGACGCGATTCGGCAACGCGACGCGATTTTTCGATTTTCACTGACCAATAACTTTGATTCTGGTTTAAATTTTCCAAATATTTAGAACTAACTTTCAAAAACTAAAAATCGCGTCCCGTTGTCGAATCGCGTCCGGTGTGTCTTGACCTTCATTTGGCTTCAAAGAAACAAGTACAATATTACAATAGTATACCTGAGTATATCATGCGGATACACGTTCAAACTAAAATTTCAAAGTGATTTCTCTAAAGGAATTACCGACCCACACTTCTTGAGAACAACGTTCCACTAACGATATTAATCATCAACTCCTGTTTCAAGAACTTCTTGCTCAATAATAAATTACCAGGTGAATGTAACAGGCGGAATGAACAGGGGTTATGGTTGGGTTCAGGATTGGGGTTTGCAATTGAAGAAATTAGTTCTCGAGAATTTCGATATTTTTATTCGCATTCCATTCCGCCTTTTGCATTCACCGCAGGAATCAAACTTGAGGGGGGTCATCATCTACCTATAATATCCAGGCTCGTGGTTCGTTGATTATAACAATGAAAGACAATAAAACTATAGAAATTGTCTTTCTAAAAAAACGAGTCACAAACAATGATCATTTTTGTTTCTGATTTGTTTCTGAAAGCCAATCACAAAACATGATAATTTTAAGGCAGGTATTTACCCCCGGAGGGTCCTGCGACTGCGGTGCAGCGCTCTAACCAACTATATAAGCCACAAATTCCAGCTTTAACCACAAATTTGTGTATATATAATACCAAAATACATGCTCAAACAGCGGAAATCACGTTCAGATTGAAAACATTTTTCAAGTGTTTTGTCTGAAAGAAATCGACCCACCCTTCTTAAAAGAAAGTTCTTGTCAGAAGCACTTACTGCAAATGAAGAATATTAGCTAATATCGGATATTGTATTTCCTGCCCTGAAGCTTATTTGCGTTCTTTTAATAACACAATTTGCCATATATTTATCCATATCAGATATGATGTTAAGAAACACAAAATAATAGTTAAAATATTGTCAATTTAAGTACTAGTTAAAACATGAGAAGCCGATCTTTATCTGATATACAAACTCGAGCCGAAAAACGTACTTTAAAAACGACCCATCTTATGAGTTCATTGGCGAAGTAATTTTAAAAATAAACATTGACTAAGCCGAGAAAATCAAAGCCGAAGTTTATGTAAATCAGGACAAATCTTTATCCGATTTACAAACATTGATTAAACATTCATTTCTTTTGTATTTTCATCATGAATTATTAGAATGATGGTTATTGATGCTGATTTGGTAGAAGTTTACATGGAGAGTAATGTATATTATAGCGACGTTTTTGTCGTCAAATTGCCGAGGGGAACTGGATTAAAAACTGTGTTTGTATCAGTCTGTGATGATCGTCAGCCGATAATCGTCTATATATATAGCAATCAAGCATATGACAAAACATAAGATTTTTTGAAGTTTTTTACTTCTTACACAAGCTCTTTGATGCAAAATGCCACCAAAATTAGTTACACCAATTTTCTCGGGTGACATCCGTGTTGATACAAACCGCGTGGCTCAGTGCTTATTAAGCTCGTTAATGTCCATTGAAATTCGTCAAACCATGCCATGTACATGAAGACTCCTTTATACCGAGATAAAGACCGCTGTGTATTATCAATTTATGCATAACAAGACGCCTACTCAGTCGTTCACTCCGGGTATAGGGCCTTAACTAAGCGCAAAGCTACTTTAACGTATGCTTATATACGGCAATGAAGGTATCTTTAATGCATGATATTTAGCATATTAAAGTTGGAAAAGTGGGAGAACTACAGTGTAACCACTTCACCAGGTGACTAAAAACATATGCAATGATCATAATATTTTACAACATAAAAATATCTCTTTTATCTCTAATAAAAGCTATCTAGTTCTTTATTAAAAGTTCTATTTAAAACATGCGTAGGAGTGTTTTATCGAGTCGTATATAATAAGTCGGAGGCCGTATTTTACAAATATTTTATGGTTTTTTTAAATTTTATTGTCGAGGGTAGAAATTTGAGGGTGAAAAGCTTGAGGGTATACATTTTAATAATTTAACAAAATAATAATTTTAGCTCGTGTTCATTTAGTT